AAGAGGCGCGAGAAGCCGCGGTCTAGACAGGCCCTGCTCCGGCGGCGCGCAGAGGACTCCGCGGGTTTCCCGGATGACCTATAAATCCTCCAGCGACCAGGCCAGCCCCACCCACTGCCCCTTCCCTCGCCTCCCCGACAGGGTTCTGGTTTTTTTGGGTTTTTTAGGGGGCGGGGCTAAGCGCTCTGTCGGTTTACCTACTAACCAAATTTTGTCTTAACCTCGTTGTTTTTTTTGGTTTTTTTTTGTTTTTTAAGAGTCTAGAGATGCCATCCAGGAACAACAACAAAAATTTTTAATTTATTTTTTATTAGCATATTCATTATTACAAATCATACTTATGCTTTATGCACCTTATCCAATCTTTCCCCTGGTGGAAACATTCCGTAAAACAACCTCCCCATAACGAAACCATTTTGTTCTGTTCCACATTCCTCCCTCTCACGCGGTTTAAAAAACAGGTGATTGTGTCATCTTGGAGTTCAAATTAGGGCAAAAGGGAATTCTGGGCATTGTCAAACAAGTACACTAGGATATTTTAGAAAATTTCAGGATGCCAACAGACATCATACACAGAGGAATAATTATGTCTATAAAATTACACGTGATTGGGACTGCTGTAGAAGGCCGGTAATAATCCTAGACCTTGACTGGCAAATAAATGGTCGTTGAGTACATGGAATCCATGAGCCTTGACAGGAAACTTTTTGATGAACTGAGATTTCCGGAATACTTTTACAAAAACCAGAAAGATGAATTTTAAAATATATTTTATCATGGTTAATGGGTGGTGGAAAAAGCATGGGCTCAGTCAGAAATAGCAATGTGCAAATCCAAGGTCTACCACTGAGACCTTGGATAAGTTATTCTTTTACGGTATCAGGGTTCCCATAACTCTCAAACACGGATAAGATGTTCCATCCTTCAGGGCCATTCTGAGGGTTAGACAGTAACACGCACAACGTCCAGTGCGTCACAAACCATGAGCAATAGGGCTTCCTGGGCTGTAAGGGTACTCTTAAGGCGGCTTAAGGCCAAAGCCAAGTGGATATTGCAAAATGCTAAACACAATAAAATATACTTTAAAGAATTTTCAGAACAAGAAAGGACAGACCTGAGTAAAATCTCTTTGCCTCCTAATTGCCTCTATCTTTGGGTAAAGAGAAAGACATTCAAGTTGGAAAGGGCACAACAACGAAAAAAATTGCAGATATTCACTGTCTTTGCAACCCTGCTATAGCAGATCCAGTTTCAATTTGGTTGTAGCCCTTACAGCTTTCTATTTTGTAGGGTCGTTCTTTGTATACATAGAGAAGTTGTTTATATAGTTCATCTTAGTAGCCCCCACAGTACCAGACACAGGGTCTTGAACCTACTAAGGGTTCAGTAAGTGTTTGTGAATATATTAAGGCTGTCATGTGACTTCTACTAGTAATGATCAGAATTCATTAAGCATGTGCATGAAGATTAAAAATGGAAAAAAATGTTCTCCAAAATTTCAAAGGTGGGTGAGGGTTAACTTCAAAGGTTACAGATATCAATGTTCAGTAGAATTCCAGAGAGAATTTGTAAACATGATTCATGAACACAGATAAAGCAACATGCAGTTACTGAGGACTAGCTTTTGCTTAGCTATTTGCTTATGTATTTCCTTGTCTATAAAACTCCCATCCCTTCATCTTTCACTCCTGTTAAAATCTATCCAGGGCCGAGCCCGGGGCGCACTCGGGAGAGTGCGGTGCTGGGAGCGCAGCAGCGCTCCTGCTGAGGGTTCGGATCCTATATAGGGATGACTGGTGCGCTCACAGCGCTGTGGCTGAGCGCGGTGCGGCCGGTCTCAAAAAGGACAAAAAAAAAAAAAAATCTATCCAAATTTTGAATCCCTTTGTCTTAGTCTGCTTGTGCTGCTCTAACAAAATAACCACAGACTGGGAAGCTTATAAAGAACAGAAATTTATTTCTCATAGTTTTG